AGATCACCTGAAGAGCTTGTTAAAATGTAGATTCTTTTTTTTTCTTTTAAAGATTTTATTTATTTATTCATGAGGGACAGAGAAAGAGAGAGAGAGAGATAGAAGCAGAGGCAGAAGGAGAAGCAGGCTCCCCGCAGAGCAGGGAGCCAGATGCGGGGCTCGACCTTAGGACCCTGGGATCATGAACTGAGCTGAAGGCAGACGCTCAACAGACTGACCCACCCAGGTGCCCTAAAATGCAGATTCTTGGACTTTATCCCCCATGAATTTGGTTCAGTGATTCTGGGATAGTGCTTGAGAGCTTGTATTTGTAAGAAGTTCCCAAGTACTGTTGCTGCTGTTGGTCCAGGCACTATATCATTTATGTAGAACAAGCTATGTTTGGGAATTTTATTGACTGGGTTCTGGTTCCACATATCCAATGAATAAATTGCCTTAAGTCCATTTCGATGACTTCTCTTGGGTTTCCGATCCTGCAGAAGACTCTACCTTAGGAATTCTAGGTATTGTGGGCCTTTTGAGTAATAATACAATCCTTCTGTTACCTGTTGTCATTAGGCAGTAAACCCACAGCAGTCTAAATAAACGATAGAGACTGGCCTTTATAGGATGTATCATGACCATGAAATTGTCCCATCAATTCTTTTTGGTGCTGGAAATGATAGCGATCTATCAAGATTTCTTCTTTCAACTAGAACAATATAAGCCCCCCTCTTCCTCACCAGGACTGTAACTTTTCCTCTAACTTCTTGCTTGCCTCAAATTCTTGAGAAAAGTTTATACTCATTCTCTAGCCAGAGACCTGAGTCCTTAGGAAATTAATACAAGAGGCTTTTGGTGGGAGTGTATTTGGCTTCCAACAGTACCAGTTGGTTCCTGGGCCGTATTCTTAAAATAGAAAAATGACCAATTACAGCTCTGCCAGGACTACATTTGGTGTAATCCAGAGAATATGTTTTTAAGTGTCTGAAGGACTCAGCCACAGGAATCTTGATGGTACCAGCCAAGATATCTGAGGTCCAAGGATGGCAAGACCCAGGGACCATTCAGTACTCATGGGGGGATTCCAGCTAAATAGAAGCTGGGATTTGGACATGTCTGGGCAGGTCTGCTGAATATGCAGGATAGGCATGCCTGGAGTCTATTTACATGGCAACTTTTGGCTGAAGAATGACTGTATGCTGATCTGAATGGAAAGTAGAGGGGGAGGAACAGAAATGTGTCTGTCTTGGGACCCAGGTTTTGATCAATCTTCTTTAATAAATGAAGTTATTAATTAAGTAATATATCACCCTCTTGTTTCTCAGAATTACACAATTTACATTAAGATTCTTGACAGTGAAAATAGTTCACTGCTATCTTAAGGAATCTGTAGTCCTTGTGTGGGAAATCATATCAAAATGGAAGAAGATTGATTTAATTAAGTTGACCATGTGGGATTATATTGGGTGTGTGAGAAAAGGACAAAAAACACATTTTGTGGCTTTGGAAATATTGGTGGATTAGTGAATTTTTAAAAATCTTCATAGGAGGGGCACCTGGGTAGCTCAGTAGTTAAGCATCTGCCTTTGGCTATGGTAGTGATCCCTGGGTCCTGGGATTGAGCCCCGAGTTGGGTTCCCTGCTGGAAGGGGAATCTGCTACTCCCTCTCTAGCTCCCCCTGCTTGTGTTCCCTCTCTCGCTGACTCTCTTTGTCAAATAAATACATAAATAAATAATCTAAATTTTTTTCCACAGGAAATAATATATTTAAACTTGTTATTTTGAATTGTGCACTCTTGGTATAGCACCTACAATGTTGTGAATTTTGTTAAATATTAACATGGCTGAAATACTTTAAAATTATATTTACCTTCATTTAGAAACTGTTCACAATTGTGCTTCTGGTCTTGATTGATGCCATTCCTTATTCATTGGCATTTTGTTTTGTTGATGAGCCACAATTCCACCCTTGTTTTTCCTTAATTAATAACAATTATTATAATCGTACAGGACACTCATTTACAGACTTTTTATTTTATGTTCCAGGCACCCCTCTAAGCATTTTACACATCTTATCTCTTTTAAGCCTCACAGAATTGTTATGAGGGAGACAATTTCATGATCCTGACCATATACATGGGGAAACTGAGGCACAGAGAAATTAAATTACTTGTCCAAAGAGTATCTAACAAGCAGTGGAGAAAATCAGGGCTTTAGGGGCATTTACAATTTTAGTAATGTTACTAACCACTCCAAATTTTAAGATGATTATAGAAAAGAAAAGGCTGTGTCTCAGTTTGGATGTGGTTTAGGTGTCATGAACTCGTTCAGTGCCAACTTTGATTCTTTAAGTAGCCTTGGTAAAGTCATTGGAATTATTTTCCGGAGACTTACGGTTGTACAAATGACTTTTTTTAATTCTTTTTTTTTTTTTAATATTTTATTTATTTATTTGACAGAGATGACAAGCAGGCAGAGAGGCAGGCAGAGAGAGAGAGGGGAGAAGCAGGCTCCTGAGCCGAAGGCAGAGGCTTTAACCCACTGAGCCACCCAGGCGCCCCTATACAAATGATTTTTTAAATGACTCTGATATTTCAGTTGCTTTCCTAGAGAATGGGAGAAGCAGTCTACTGTGTACCTCTCCTTGATAAGGATGTTTCAGATTTTTAAATTTATTTGGATATAATTTCAAACTTACAGACAAGTTGCAAAAATAAAGGCAGCATTAAAAATACCCATGCAGGGGCGCCTGGGTGGCTCAGTGGGTTAAAGCCTCTGCCTTTGGCTCAGGTCATGGTCTCAGGGTCTTGGGATTGAGCCCCCGCATTGAGCTCTCTGCTCAGCGGGGAGCCTGCTTCCTCCTCTCTCCCTGCCTGCTTCTCTGACTACTTGTAATCTCTATCAAATAAATAAATAAAATCTTTAAAAAAAAATAAAAAAAAACCCCATATATCCTTTTACTCAAATTCACTTATTGTTAACATTTTACTCTAACTCTTTTATCATTTGTGTGCTTTCTCAGAATACATATGGGGAAAAAAGTGGTAATGTTATATATTTTTCCTAAATCCTTTCAGGGTAAGTTACATATTTTTGGGCTTCTCCCTGTAATACCTTAGTGTGTATTTCCTAAGTACAAGGGTAGTCTCTTTTGTGACCACGTTACAGTAATAAATTTCAGTAAATTCAACATTGATTCAATACTTTAATCTATGGACAGTATTCTAATTTGTCAATTGGCTCATTAATGTTATTTATAACATTTTCCTTCTTGGGTACAGGATGCAGTCTAAGGCCACTTACTGCCTTTAGCTGTCACATTTGAGAATAATTCCAATTATGCCAGATTTTATTTTTGCTATAGTCTAGAAGCCATACCCATACAGTATGTAAAAATCTTAATTTAGGTGGACATCTCATGAAAATTAGACTTCTGATAGATTTTTTTATTACTACTTGATATCTTATAATTTCTGATGATTAGGATGTAGTATTCTAGCTCCTAGCAATTGTTTCTATTATATTGTTTCTATTATATTGTACGCCTAAGTGAATTAGACTTTTTTTAAAAGACTTTTTGAATCATAGTTGAACTTCTAACAATAGCCTAATGATGTTGATCTAATTTTAATTTTAGGAGAGACTTCTATTTTTTGGTTCTAATTAATTGAATACAGAACTATTGGAAAAGTAGGGAACTCCGAGAAGGAAAATGAGGTACTGTCTAGTATGTAAGAGGAATGATTGATGTTGACAAATATTAAGTAAAAATTTTTAAATAAATAATAAGGATGTTGTTTAAAAGGCAAGCTGTTGATTTTATCACTCCCTCTTGCTAAGACACCCATGGGTCCCTGTTAAATCTGACGTTTTTACTCTGGTTGTCAATGGCAGCTTTAAAATGTCTGTAGCATCCCAGGACAGTCACAAATCACCTCCAGGAAGGGCTGTGAAACTCTGCCGGTTCTTTCCTTTCCCAAGAGCCCGTCCCTAGTGGCACACCAGTAGCTTCTGGGCACTGGAGAAGTTATGACCTTTGTCTTCCCCAAGGTTCGTGGCAGTCTGTCTTCTGCAACACCCTTTCACCTTTCTCGGGGAAGCTGGGGCTGAAGGCTAACAAACTCTATGGGTACCCAATCATTAATTAAACTCCCTTCCCAAGAGACCCCTCTGCCTCCACCAAATTTGGTGACCACAGTTGAGAGCCAAGAGTCCCCTACAGTCATTTTTAATAGTTGTATTAGAGAGGGTTTTCAGAAAAGGGACAAAATTTTAAAAAGATCTTGGGTCATGGTTTTTGAAAGATTTTATCTAACGGTTGAGCAACGTTGGCAATATTGACTGTTCTTTGCTCTTTTCTCCCACATACCCCGTCCTCACTTCTTTGCATATTGACATTCCCTTGATATTTTTAATATACTTAGGCTATGAATTAGCACTCAATGAATTGAACATTTGTATTCTCTAGTTCTGCATTACTATGTATTACAGAGACTAGGCTCTAATAGTGTGACTTGGCTCTAACGTAACCTGCAAAATATTGACACACATTCTCTAGTGTCATTACATAATCCCTATGAACGATGGAAGTCATTGTGGAAATCCAGTCTGCCCCTAGAATTCCAACCCTGTAATGCTTATTTCTGTAGTTGATATTCTGATTTCTAGAATGTGTTTGCTTGTCAAGTATTGGTCTATATTGACTTTTCCTTTGGTGTGCTTTGTTTTTTAAAGATCAAAGATCCATTTTATTTTCATGGAGGAAGATAAGGGTTCCCCTGGCTATGGAGAGGAGCTTACAAAAGAACTAAGATGATGGTGTTTTTAGGTATGCAAAGGTCCTGCAAAGGGGTGGCTGGACCTCAGATCCTTTTATTTTCAGACTCCACTGAAGTGATTTATAATTTACCTGACTTTGGAGCTTCTATTGTCCTGGCTCACTGAATTTTTCAGCAAATGTATCATAAACACTTTAACTCAAAAGCCCAAACAACTTCCACATCATCAAGTGAGACCATTGGCTTTTTAAAATTTTTTTATTTTTTCACTCATCATTTATTTACAAATACACATTATAACTTTTATATACATTGCACATTTACATGGTAGAAAAGTACAAAACTATATATTTAAATGAATTTATATTTAACTTGCCATGTTTGAAAATATAAAATTGCATCAGAAAAAAGTATTATGAAAAGCAAGAAACTTGAACTGATAAAGCTTTGATTATAACTTTTAGTGACACATTGTTTGCAAAAGAACTTATTGAAGAGGTACAGCAGACTAGCTTAAAGGAAACACCTAACAAAAGGTTGAATGTATAGCATTCCCTTCCTTCAATCTCCAGATACCCATATCACTCAATTTCTTTGGATTTGTAACATCTTAAAAGTATATTATGAAAATTCTAACATTACTATCACCCTTTCTCTCACAAATCATGACAAGAGAACTGAACTAGGAGTTTCCTCAAAGATGTATCCTCTGTACCTTCTACTTGAGTCAGTTATAACGCCTTTTGGTCAGTCAAGATTCCTTGTAAACAAAACCCGAGGGATCATGTATGTACAGAACAGGCAGCAGAAAATCCAATAAATAAACATGACAGAAACTGACATGCAAGTTTGTTAAAGTGGAAAAGATTCTAACAACGGTGAGATGAGAGGAGACAGATGAGTGAGTGAATAGTAAGGAATGGACTTAAATGGTTTACAAGGAAAAAAAAAAGCTTTTACTTTACAAGCAAGAGACCTCACAATAAATAACAACTGCTCTTCCTTTCACGAATAAATTTCTTCAAAAACAAGGTGTACAGTCAACCAGACATTTTATGTATAAATTATAAAACATGACACAGTATAAATAAATGTCTACAAGTCTCAACTATGGGCCTCATCCAGTAGACCTCACAATGACTGCCTCTCCATGTCCAATGAGTAACAAGGTGGCCTGGGAGAGAGCTCTAGGACAAAGTCCTTTATGTATAGTTTTCCCCCCAAATAAATAAGCATACACTTATTTACAGTATGGACAATATATTTTTTTTTCTTTTTTCTTCCCCCCCCATTTTTTTTCTTTTTTCTTTCTTTCTTTTCTTTTCTTTTCTTTTTTTTTTTTTTTTTTTTGCCAAAGGCTATGTCAACACTGAACATTGGTGGAGGGTTTACCACTCTAGAATGGAAGATATAGGAAAGCTGTAGTCCTGGTCTTCATCTTCCTCTTCTTCCTCGGTATCTTCCGAAATGGCTAGATGGGGGAATACAGGGGAGCTGTTGTTTAAATATGGACAACAACAGCGCAGAAGCAGCTCAGTGTATGTTTTCAAAGCCCTCTGATACAGCCATATTACAGCGTTGCATTTTTATGTGACTTGCAGTGAGATGCTTTGATTTTGGCATCTGCTGTTATGCAATAAGTTTAAAAAAATTTTTGTTTTAAACATAATCTATGAAGTCAAAAACTGCAGAAAGTTCTGAAGAATCAATGGCTCAGGTTTTACGGGCAGATTCCTGAAATTAGATAAAAAGCGCTCTTGTGTTCTAGGTATAACTGCTTTGGGTCCTTAATTCAGAGTTAGTAGAGGCAACTGCAAAAAGCAGCAGCCCATGTGTGATCATATAAAGCTGTCTTTGAAAAAGAAAAAAAAAAAAACAACTTTTGAAGCAGTTAGTTTAGATTCAAGTGTTAATAAAGCAAACGGCAAAGCATATTACTAAAGCAAAAGAATTAAGGGCAAATGACTAGAAGTAAATTTTTAGAGGCAAGCCCGTTGATGATCATTGGACAAGTTCTAAAGCCAGGGAACATTCCAGAGAATTTTTCTGTGGACCACTGAATTCCTGGTGAAATTTAGCAGTTACCTAATTTAAACAGAAATGGGCTTCTATTGGAAGGTTTTCGTGCTTTTTATGTCTCCGTTCCCTAGGGCTTGCCTGGGAAAGCCTCAAATTGCAGCAAGGTTAAAATTGCACTTACAGTTGCAAGATCCGGAGTGTTTTACTTCCAGCAGCACACCTGAGGAACAGGCAGCTTCCTTCATGGCACACTCGCTGGCATAAGTGGCATTGTCGCTGGCACACACAGGCTCCTCAGACTTACTCTCAGGGCACAGCTCATCGCAGAGCGAACACCGGCCTCTGCCAACCTTGAAATCCCATAAACACTTTTTTCCACCGGTGCACTGGATATCTTCACAGGACTTTGCTTCTAGGATATATATAATACACCTGTGATGAGTAAATTGATTTCCCCTTTTCCCCATTTCTTCCTTTCTTTAGTCCTCTGTCAATAAATATAAACTCACTAATAGGATAATGGAGATATTATGCAAAAATGCTTGACTATAAAATTGAAACTCTAATGCACACGTTTCCTACATACCACATTAGTACATGAAAATGGTATTTTTGGGGAATAGGTTATCACAGTATTCTGAAATTAAATATATATTTTATTATTTCCCACAAGTGGAATATTTTGAAAAATAAAGAATTCCATCAGTTATTAGAATCTGGTAACAGATTTTAGGAACTGTTAAGCAATTATTTCTTGCTTCCAGCAAGTCTAGCACCTAAAATATGTGTAAAATTAAGTGAGTTCCAAATTTTCTAGGACAGAAAATTGTTTTCTGTTTCTTGCTGGCCTTTCAACATATATGCCAGTGCTTCTGGAAGATAACGGTTTCCCTGAGGAATGCTGTGATTACAACAGTTTACCCAAACTGGACCGTATTTTTCTCTCTGGTGAAACTATGCATTATGGAGAGGCTTTGGGCTTATTTATTGATTAACTCCACAGTCTTAACACTACAACTAGCCTTTCTGATCCTATTTCCATTTTTTCTTCCTTAATCCAGGATACCTACTGATACACTTTCCCTCATAGGCTAATCCAATCGATCTGCCCAGGAGGCAGGTAGCCTTTCTCAGGTGACAGGCACTGGAGTAGGTCACTCCATCGTTCCCACAGAGATACTGTTCAGAGGAGGTGGGCTCTGGGCAAATCCGGTTACATGTCACACAGTAGGCATTATTAGTCTGGTCTACCACGCACGTGGAGCTGCCTGGACAGAAAACATCCCGACATGTCTCTGAAATAAAGAGGGAAACATACATCAATGACAGGTACTTCCTGGCCCTTAGGCAGTGAGCATTTGGTATCATCAAGGAAATCATAAAAGGGAAGCACCCCGCTTTTCAAAAAGCACTTTGGGAACCTTGTGGTTTTCAAGAGAAAATCGATGACTCTAGGTCGATCCTCTCAGTGTTCTTAAGAAGTTTTTGGAATATAAAAAAGGGTTACTTTATTTTGCATCATCATTACTGTTCGGCTCTTAGTGGGGACTATACCGTCCCCCAGGAGTCTTCCAGTGGGTCGGCCTCAGGCGGAAAGCTGGAGGAGGGGAGCCAGAGAGGACCTACTTTTACATTTGCCCTGGTACTGGACTTCCAGTTCCGGCTGCTCTTTACATCTGGCCTTGAGGAGCGCACACTCGTTGCGGTAGGTTTTCCCGTCTAGCCCACATACTGGGCCCTTCCAGGTGATGTTGGAACAATCTGGGGCACAGACGCATCGGGGTTTGTTCTTTTTGTTCATTCGGCATTTTTTCCCCGGGCCGCAGTCCACGTTCTCGCAGGTCTCTATGAGGTGGAAAGAGGCATGGATCAAAACCAGGGCCAGGCAGTATGCAAGTCAGCAAGGAGGGGTGCGAAGGCCTTGTACCATCCTGTGGCCAAGAGTTCGAACAGGAGGGGTCCCGCTCTCTCCTAACAGTTGAGGAGCGGGTGGAAGCCTGGGGGACAGTGGTCTGCATCCTATTCCCAAATCTTTCTCAAATAGGGAGAGTGTGCTGGCTTCACCACCACACTTGGCTAGTAAGTCCAGGAATGTCTGGCAACGGTGTTTTGCCTGTAGTGTGTAACAGGCGAGATTCAACCAGAAAGGCTTCCAGGGGCTGGGGGAAGATAAAGGCAACCCAGGAACAAAACTCTCCTAGTCCCTAACCCCAGCTGGGCAATGGAGAAGATGAGGATAAGACGCCCTCTACTGAGGGCCTGCAAACTGGGGAGGAAGAGTCCTACCTTTACAGGGGATGCAGTTGGGGGCGCCCCCATTGAAAATCATCCACTTGAAGAGCGTGTTGTCATTTACATCCTCCTCCGTCCAGGAGGTGCTGAGGCGGCCCGTGCTGCAGCACTCCTCCTTGCTCAGTTCTGTCTTGTATAGGACCTGGCAGCGGCCGTTCTTTGCTTGGCGGAGCCAGCAATTCCCAGCTGCGAAGGAGACAGGGGTGGGAGGTGGGTGAGAGAGAGGCAGAGTAAGGGGGAGGGAGGCAGCGAGCTGGCGAGGGAAGGAGACCCAGCGCGCATGGGGAGGGAGTGAGTGTGGAGGAGTAGAGGGAGACGGGAGAGAAAAGAGAAAATAAATCGAAGGGAGTGAAGAGGTGGGGGAAGAGAGGGGGAAAAAGCCGGTTGAAGAGGTGGGAGGTGGGTGAGGGGGAAGCAAGGCGAGAACGTGAAGCCAGAGCGCCCCAGCCATATCAATGTCAGTTACCAGTGACCCAGACACAACACGTGCAGCTTGCATTGACTTTTACTAGACTGTTTACTTTTATTCGTCCCATTTCATAACCTGCAGCGACTCGAAGAGCAGATTAAAGAACCTGACAAAAACAGGATGCGACGGATGTTTTTACATGTCGGTTTCATGTAGGCGGTACGGGTATTATTTGTGACAGGGGTTAAGAAAGTAGGAGAACTTGAGAGAGAGGGAGAAAGGAAGAGAAAGAGAGACCGACACAGACACACACACAACAGGAACAGATCAAGCAAAAGGCACTGGAGAAAAATGAAAGCAAAAAAGCAACTGGGCCCTGCCCGGAGCTGCCCCGTGCGGCCTCGAGGCGCAGCCCGCCCGCCAGCCCGCCCGCCAGCCCGCCCGGCCCGTTTTGCAATCCGCCAGACCCAGAGGACGCCCGCGGCCACCGCGATCTTTCGAAATCTCCGAGGGCTGCTTTCCCCGGCGCCCACGTCCGCGGCACCCAGGCAGCGCCTCGCCCCGAAAGGCGGGTAACTCCAGAGTAGTGCGGTGCCGACGGCGAGGGGGCAGTGCCCAGGGGGACAGTTTACAACACACTCAAAACGTTAACGCTAAAGCAAGCAAAGTTACAGGTCTGTCTCCGGGAAAGTGTAGGGTAAAAAGAAAAGGGGTTGGCTTCCTACTATTTCACAGTAACATACATACACCTATCTCATACCTACCGAGAAATCTTTACAAGTAATTTTCCCTCCTTCCTTTCCCTTTTCATGTTAGGATTTTAGTCAGGAAGACTCCTTATGAATCATCTATATAATCTGAACAATAATTGGACCGCAAGCTGCTATTATAATTATTTAAAAAATTGTGCCCAAAGACTAATTGAAATTAATTTAATTAAAAAAACCCCAAACTTTAGAAATTTGCTCTTAATGCATCCCAGAATTTAAATAAGTTGTGAGCTCCTCGGTGTTCTACATAAAGTTAGTCGGAGGAATGAGACACAGAAAAAAACAAACAAACTGTAAACTACTCAAAACACTCCAGGGTAAATTTTTTTTTTTTTTTTTTTTGCGGGGTTGGGGGGAGGGGGTTGGAAGAAGCATCCACTAGGCAGAAAGTTACCCTTCCCTCTAAAATTTTCAGCACCCACATCTCCAAGTTTGGGCAAAGTTGCTGAAACCACGTCCCCCAGCCACCAAAGAAATTTCAGTATCTCCCCCCCACCCCCCAGTCATTTTTTAAAGTATCCAAAAGATGTAGGAGGGCAAGAGGTTAGGTTGTAAATGGATCGACTTAAATCTCCAGGCTACTGATGCTTGTCCCCTTCTTCAGAGCCAAAACAGGGGAGATAACATCTAAACTCATTATGTCCAGAACTTGGAGCATCTAACCTAACTACTGAGAGAGATTCGAGCTTACTCCCTTTCCTTTTAAAGGATAACCGCGCTTCTAACTCGGCTGGCAGTCCTGAAGTGTCACTGCCTTCAGTTTTCCCACTCTGCTCCATCCTGGAGTCGCTAAGTTGGTCCAACATCTTCCGAGAGCGGCGTTGCTTAGACCAGACTCCGTGCAGACGACAGAAAAGTACAAACCCCTGCCTGCAGCCGAGCCTCCCAGCGCATCCCCCCTCGCTTACCCTGGGCGCTGCGGTCCTCCATGAACTGGCAGAGCAGCAGCAGCAGGAGGCAAAGCCCGCCGGGCTGGTGCCTGGGACCGGCCATCCTGGGGGCAGACGCGGGGCGAGGAGCGCGGCGGCGCGGGGAGCGGGCGCGGCGGCGGGTGGCTCGGACGAGCGGCGCGCGTCGCAAAGGCGAGCGGCGGAGGGCGCAGCGATCCCGGCGCAGCCCCGCGCTCGCCGCCGGCCGCCCGCGCGATTCAATGGACGTCAGAAGCCGGGCGCAGCCGCGCTTTAAATCTAGACGGGGGTCTCCGCGGTTTGCGGTGGGCGGTCTCCCAGTGTGTGGGGCAGTGGGAGGGCGGCCGCGAGCAAGGGTGTGCGCGGCTCCTTGGGGGTGGGGAGCTTTTAAAAGTTCAGTGTGAATCAGGTGACATTTCCCACCTTCTGGAAACCCTTCCCAATTATCTGTTGGAGGTGCCCGAAATCAAAGCGACAGGAGGGGAATCGCCGAGTTCTTATTTGCGTAGGAGGGAGAGGGAGGGGGAAGGCGGAGGGGCGGGGGGTGGGGGCGACGCTTCGGGGGTGGGGAGTGGGGAAGAACACCCACTTCAAGTCCTGCACGCCGCCGCTCGCAGGCAACGCCGGCGCGCCCGGGGTGGCGGGTGTGTGTGTGTGAGTGTGTGTGTGAGTGTGAGAGGGGGGCGCGCTGGGGGCGCTGGAGGAGGCGGCGGCGGGTGGAGCGGGTGGGGAGGGGGGAAACCCGGTAGTTTGTCTCTGCTCCGCGGCTCCTCGGCTCCAGAAAGACTTTGCAAACGCCCCGAGAGCCCGGAGCTGCTGAAATAGCCCGCTCGCGGTCTGGTCGGAGCGCGCCGGCCCCGCCGCTTCGCCGGGGCGCGCGGCAGATTTAGGCCCCCGCAGCCCCGGCGCGGGACCCGCGAGGTTTTGTGTCTGGGTCTCTGCTCGCCTGACTTCGCGGCCGCCCCCAACCCAGAGCTGGGGCTGTGAACCGCAGCCCCGGCGCCTTCCACCTTGGCTGGGAGGGGCTGAGACGCGGCCCTCGGTCTCGACGAGTCACAAGAAAAAAAAAAAAAAAATGTTTAACACCTCAGGCCCAGCCCTCCCCCCCACCCCCCGTCACAGTCTCGCCCTCTCCCTTTCTTTTCTCCCCTTTCACTTCGAGGCGTCTGGAGTCGGAGCCCGGAGCGGGGGCGCCGACGTAGGCGGTCTGCCCCCCCTCCCCGGCTCGGAGACTCCCCAGTTTCTGTCCTGTGTGTCTCTGTCTCTCCCAGTCTCCTCGGCTCTCGCGCGCTCTCTCTCTCTCTCTCCCTCTCTCTCGGTTCGCGGAATAAAAAAGATTGCAACATCGATAATGAACTTCTGTAGCCTCAGTTTATTAAGCACAGTGCCTGGCATTCTTCGCTGAAAGTTGGCGGGTCTCTCATTTATAACATTTTTGGCACCGCTGAATGAAACTGAGGAGGCGATATTTCCTTTTATATAAAACGATTACTTCACGGAAAATGCTATATTGTTTATTCCAAAGCTGCCTTTTAAATTTCCATTCTTTTTGCTTCTGGAGCCCGAAGGACAACAGACAGCGAAGTATGCAGACAAAATTCTTGGACATTCGCAGGTCACTGGGATTTGTTCTTCTACGGATTTCAAATTCGTTCCTCTTCGCCCTCCCTCAAGCTTCCCCCCGCCAGACCGCCCCCCCATTCCTCCTCTCGTCCTCCCACCCCCCATCTTCCATCACCCCCCCCCTCCACAACTGCAAATAACTCAGTGATAACAGATTTTTTTCCACCAACTGCAGGAGATAGTGCTAATCTTTTAATAAAAGATCCCATTACAATGGGATCTGTCTGGACAGACTATAATAGATCCCGAAATACAGCCGTGCTAATATTAGAAGACAGTTGTTTGGGTGCCTCTCAGACGGGCCCAAGCCCCCCTTTGAAAGTGGGCATGAATCACAAAGCCCCGCGGCCGCCGCACCTGCACCGCGCGCATTCGGTGCAGCAGGCTGGTAAAAACGGGTGACCTCGCCGCTGCTTTTCGCTTTATAATTACCGTCCTAAGGACGGGAGAGGAGGGGTGCGGGCGGCCCGTGGGTGGGGGGCTGGCTTTTTGGTGACTTCAGACGGCTCTGGGGGCTCCACATCCTTCTTAATTTTTCCAGATTTATTCTTTCTCTCTCTCTCTTCCCTCTTCTCTCTTCCCTCCCGTCCGCCCACCACTTCTCTTTTCTCTTTCCCTCCCTTACCCCCAATCTGCTCAAACTCTCCCCCCTTCCCCCTCCCTCTTTCTTTTCCCGTCTTCCTTTCTCTCTTCCCTCCAACGCAGCATTAATGTAGAGTTGTTTAGTGCCCTCTAATGGCAGACGACATTAACAATTAATAGCAAACTGTCCCCTTTGCAGGAGCCGCCACTCAATGGCAGAATTCCAAAGTTGAATTTATTTCTTCTTTATTCAGGGAGGTGGATATAGTGCTTGTATAGTAAAGTGCTGGAGGGAAAGTTTGTTTCCTCCCCTTCAGGTCTTTTTCCCCAAGGAAAATGTCGAAAGAAAGGGGAAAGCTAAGTTATTGTTATTTGACTTTTTTATATGTGTAAAAATTTGTCTTTTAATAACTGCAAGAGGCGCAGCTTTTGTTTTAGCTAGGTTTACCAAACCATGTATCTAGGACTGGAAAATAAATTAGATATTCTAGATACGTAAAAGATCTTAGGTGGTAGATGACTGGATCTTATAGCAGTGCTACCAATAGCCATTAAAAAAATTCAAGATCCAAACATGATTATATGAATTTATATTTGCCCCTGTTTAAATACATTTATTGGTCCTGAATCCACTGTAGCCCCTTAAAGCTTGGAAAATCTAATTGTAATTAGATTTTTCACCCTAGGACCGTACAAAACATTTAAATTTTACCCATGCTTGGTTATATATGAAGTCATCTTGCTTAGAGGAATGCAGGGTCACAATTTAATCCATGGCTTATTTTCCCTGTACTTCTGGGAAGATGGTTTTAAAGGTCATAATTTCTTCATATTTTATAACATATACCAATGAAAATAGTGATGTAACTTGCATGTTCTTATTAGATTTAACTTGTTCAATTACATGTGCATATATAGCATGTAGTAGATATTGACGTAAAAATAGCATACAGATAGATACAATGTGACTTTTTTGGGGAGATCTGTGTGACTAAAGAAAAATTGGAATAGAGTCAGTTTTGGGTGGGGTTAATAAAAATACCTGGAACTTTTATCAAAGGTGTTTGGTTTATCTAAGTAGTTATTTTAATTTATATATAGAGCGACAACTGGTGTCATAAGCATTTTCTAAATTAATTTAATCCAAGGTGTGTCTACACAATTCCGTATGTTGGGTAAAAAGTAAAAATTCTGTTTCTATTTTAATTTTTGTCTACATAATGTCAAATACTCAGACTGGTCATTTGACTAGATCAACTGCATTGACTAATTGCTTTGGCATCATGTAATTGTCTAGGTTGGCCAAAGCAGACACAGTGGATCTCCTTGTAAAAAGTGCCACCTCTCATAGGAGTCCTCCAGTACCAGAGGCAGACCCAATACAGGATTACTTCTCGCCCCAGAGAGGGTGGCCCTACAGGTCAGGGTTGAGGTCATTGGCAAACACACTGTGGAAAACACAAATGCTGTGTTGCTTTTGCTCTTGTGAATAAGCAGCTTGGTGTTTGTTTAATGATACAAGCTCATCCTGTTTTTCAGCTGCACCTTGGATAGTATTGATCTGTTTGGGAGAATGTCTGCTCTGAATCGGCGCAGATCAGTCATTAGGACTCTTGTTGGCCTGGGTTATCTTCTGGCCAATTCAAGGAAATGAGACATAGGTCAATATTGGTTCCATATAGGCCTCCTGTGGGCATCAGCAAGAGATCCATCTAATTTCTGTGGTATGAAATGGTATCACACCTGTTCAATGCCATCACAGAAAAACAGCTGCTATTTTTTTTTTTTTTTACTGTTTTATCTCCTGTAAATGTTAAATATTGGGTTTGTGGCGTCTAAATGTCACGGGGACATTTTAAAATAAAAATGCCTTCTTTCATTTTTGTTGTATGACTCTAAGTTTGACTTCTTATTTTTTTCCTTTCTGCTCTGCCAAAAAAGTAAATGTAAATTATGAGAAACACAATAGGACCACTTTGTAACTGACTTTCTGGGCAGCACACAAAAAGACTGCTGTTCTCTGATTATTTTTTTGTCAGCTTCAAAAGCTGTCTTCCTTCTGAAGTTTATAAATTTAAAATATTAGAGTTTAGCAAATGATTCAATCTAGCTCCAAAGATAGCTATTTGAAATCATATAAAATTGTTGTTGGAGATCAGAACAGACCTGGTTAAATTTCAGTCTTTAAAAAGAGAATATGGAGGGGGTGGGATGAAGTTATGTATGGAAAACTTCGAAGTCATGAACTGAGTAGCTTTTACTTTTTCCCTTAAAATTAGATGTTCAAGTTTTTTGAAGTTAGGTGTTTTACAAAATGAATATTAAGGTTTCAAATGCAAATAAACAAAGAACTCAAGCACTTGATAAATAGGCTGAAATGATTTTAAAATCAGATTTTGTTCTTCTAGGTACAAAAACAGCTACTTAATGCGTCATGGCCTCTGGATTGTGCAACTTCATAGGCTAGAATGAGGATTTGAGGTGGTGTGGGGGGTAATGGTTCTGTATTGGCTGAATTGTTGCAGAACTAAAAAGTTAAGAAATGTGAGTACGTAAAAGCAATGTTTATCCAAGATGTCCAAACCAATCGAGTTTTTTAAAAAGTCATTAGAATGTATGTTTTTTATATAAGACTGAGAAAACAATTGATTACCTGAACTTTTCTCTTTTCAGTGTTGTTTTGATGTTATGTAGAGCCAGTCAATCATGGACAACCCTTTCTCTCTGGTACTATTTGTTTTTGTATATATACCATTTTTTTAAAAGAATTTTATTTTTTTTCTTAAGTAATCTCTACACCCAACATGGGGCTTGAACTCACAAACCTGAGATCAAGAGTGGCAAGTTCTACTGACTGAGCCTCACGCGTGTGTGGCTCTGTATAACATTTTCATTGTCTTATTTTCCTCTCCAGTTTTAGAAATATTTTGGGTTTCCAGCAGTCGTCTAAGATATGTGGCCACATAGTCACTTAAACTAGCTGTATCAGCATATTCAAGTTTAATGTAATTAAGTCACTAAAATAAACCTTAAAGAAAAGTAAAGAATTAAAATTATACCTCAGGATAGTAATCGTATATTGGATTGATAGAAACTTCTAAATAGCTAACTGTATTTTAGGTCACTTTGACAATACAAATGATTCATATATTTAGATATGACTGAAAATATCAGTGTGTGATGTTTAGCACTTTTAAGTCTGATTCCATTTACACCTTCTACTGAGTGGAAAATGTGAGGAGAGCAAATCAGTATTTGCTGTTTTGTTTTCC